AAGCTCAAAAGTGGTCCTTCTACTTTTTCCAGCTTTCTCGCAAGCCTAATCCAACAACTCACAACTTGGGTCTACTCTCAGTCCTTTCAAATTGTGTACCATAGCAGCGGCCCGCAAACCAAGCATTCGTACGGAGCATGATTCGTAATTTGATCAGTATACCCGGAGTGAGGGGAAGGCGGATACGTACCATGTCGCACTCCTTGGCGGCGAGACCAGATCAGGAAGCTGGCGATATCCAAGGTTTCTCAACGTCTCGGCGTCTTCTTGGCTGCCGTTGAACGACACTCCGCATACTCGTTATGAACCAAGCGCCGGATGTCATGGCGATATCTCTATGCGAGACTACGAGATGAACTCGAACCGTTGCATCATCATTTGCTTGGCCTTCATCGCGCGATAAGGTTCCGACAGCATCCATGAATGGGTATATAATATATTCGGACTGACCGCGGAGGCTTCTTGTCAGCACTGAAGTCAACTCTTGTACATCATGAAGTGGACGAAAGTGTTGCTGGCGGCTCAATTGGCTGCAGCGACTCCCTTCCAGCCTCGCGACAGCTCTGTGACGCGCAGTGCTAAAGCCAGCTACGATGGCTACCACGTCTATTCAGTCACACCGTCTTCTGCTGACGAGGCTCGTGACCTTGGGAAACGCTTCTCCCAATACCACACTCATCCCATTCGCGACACCCTGTCCATCGCTATTCCACCAGAAGAGGTCGACGCATTCAACGCCCTAGGTCTGAAGGCTCGCCTCGTCAATTCCGACTTGGGCCACTACATACGCGCGACTGATAAGGAAGCTGTATACAAGAGAGGTCTACACAAGGGTGGAGAGTTGCCGGATCTCTCTTGGTTTGACACCTATCATCCGTATGCCGACCATCTCCAATACTGGGACGATCTAGTCAAGGCATTCCCCAAGAACTCGAAAAAGTTTCCAATCGGACAAAGCTACGAGAACCGGACCATCTGGGCATTCCATCTTCATGGAGACGAGAAGAAAGGGTACGGAAAGCAAGAAGAGAAGCCAGTCATTCTTTGGCATGCGACAGTCCATGCTCGAGAGTGGATATCGACCATGGGTAAGAAGTACATCGCGACTTGTGTGAACCATAGCTGATTGTCAAAGTGATTGAGTACCTGGCCTACCAACTAATCGACGGCTACAAGAAGGGCGATGCCAATGTGACCACCTTCCTGGACTATTACGACTTCTACTTAGTTCCCTTCCATAACCCCGATGGCTTCTTGTACACGCAGACTAACGATCGTCTCTGGCGCAAGAACCGTCAACCACGCCCAAACATCAACACTACCTGCCTTGGTACTGACGGTAACCGCAACTGGAAGTACGAATGGGATGCTGAGCCGCCTGAGGGTGGGTCAACACCTGACCCATGCGGTCAAACATACCGTGGAGAAGCACCCGGTGACACACCCGAGAACCAAGCCATGGACGGTCTCTCAGCTCAACTGTCGCAGACAGGCGCTGGCATTCGGTCATTCATCGACTTCCACTCTTACGGGCAGCTCATTCTCACTCCTTATGGCTTCTCGTGCGACCCGCTTCCCGAAACCCTTCCTCGCATGCTCGAGGTTGCTGGAGGTACAGCGAATGCTATCATGGCTGCTAGCACGAAGAATAGCACGTACGAGTTTGGTCCTGGGTGCCAGATCCTTTACTTCTCAACCGGTAACTCGAGAGACCACCACTATGCTGTGCATGGTGCAAACCACTCGTGGACGATGGAGCTGAGTCCTCAAGATCAAGCAGGTGGCGGCTTTGTTCTGCCGCCAGAACTCATCTGGCCGGTTGTGAAAGAGCAATGGGCTGGACAGCAGTGGCTTTTGAACGACGTGTGGGTAGACTAGTAAGTGCTGGAGAGTTGGATGTAGTCTCTATGACAGCATAGCTTCCGAGACTGAGATAATCTAGTCGAGTTATGTAAGACGCGATAATCGCGTTGTTTTGATAGACTCCAACCCAAAAACATCGATATTTCGATGTTTACCACATGTCTTACGAGGACACATGCTTCATTGAATCTCAGCCACGGGCCTGCGACACAAACAAAATGCGATGGGTGTATGCCATTCAAAAACCAAGACATATGAGAGAGCTTTATCGACGTAGTCAGTATACGTTCAGAGCTTCTCGACACTGACCTCGGCCTCACTACTAGCCTCTTCCGTGAAATCTTGGGCTGAACGGTGTGAGTGTTTTGTTCAACCAAACACTTCTGATATCATTCCAAATTAGTCCGCCCATGTGCGTCTAGTTGAACATAGTTCTTTGGAGGACTCACGATGACTGCTTTGCGATCGCTGTCGCCGTTGGACACTGTTTGCCCGATTAATAAATGACGAGGGAAAGAATCCCCATCATAAAAGGCACAATCGGTCCTAGAAACCTCAATTTCCAAGCGCTTTGAGTGAGTAGTGGTAGTTGATGTGGTCAGAGTTGATCCATGTGTTGCTATTGCTATGGCTTCTAGACAGCGGGGCATGGCATCCTGACTGTGAGCATCTGTTGGTTCTGGAACTGCTGCTGCCAATCTATGGGGTAGATATCGTTGTCTGACTTATTATAGACTTTGCCGAAAGTGACATTTTGGTGAAAGAGGCGCAACGAGACGGCAAACTTTCTTACTGAATCGTGCCACTGATACTCGTGAAGATTGATGAGTGCTAAGGGTGGGTAGTGGAGCAGTGGGCTCTGGAAACATTTGTTCAGTTCTATCGCAGTCCATGGGAGCGTGACGACGAACGTATTGGCTGTGTATTGCATTGCATTGACGATGGCTCGGGACCGACCATTGCGGATGCAAAGAGCACGACATGATCGCGAGCGTTGATACCGACGGAACATGATGCTTCCCCATGAAGTAGCGGCTGGCTGCAGAAATGCTTCAGTATCTCTACTGTAAGGTCGTTAGGTAGTGATTCCATGGTAGAACGGTTCTAGAGCTCAGAAGATGGTAGAACGATCGTATGTGTAGAGAGGAAGCGTTTTAGTCTGACTATAAAGAGATTGGGAAGTGGAAGCACAAATCATAAATTGGCCTATGAGCTGTAGAGGCTTGGTACGGTCCGATAGAGCTGAAAAGGTTCCTACTCGGAGACCTGTATATCATATGCGTGGCATCCAAGCCTTGGGCGCGTGGGCCTTGCTCCAAGAGTGCTTCCAAAGAGTGTGCGACAATTGCATCGATCCTCTGTCTTCCCACCCTCGAGCCGATGCAGTCCTCCGATACTCACGGAGTATGACCAGTGGAAACGGCTGATGAGCAGGACTCATATCCACAGCGCTTCACCAACCTACTATGCGCGGAGGATAATAGCATTACCGGCAAAGTCTCTCAACCTCATTCAAGGGAAATCTTGGACACCCTGAAGCCTACATTGACGCTACATCCGCTCGTTTGCGTGTTGTTGTCCTAATGTAGACCTCAGACGTATTCGCCATTTCCTTGTACGAAGTGTCCTCCCCGTCCAGATCAAGGAGTGCTTCTCTCTTGTCTCGTTGTATTGTATGGGTACGCGCGATCGTAGTAAGGGGGGAGGGTCGTAGGGTCGGCACGTTCCGTTTCGGATGCGTGGTGGGAAGTCGCCGTTCGGTGTCGTCAATGTGGGTGCGTGAGCCTAGAGAACGACGCAGCGTCAGTCCTTCGACAGCTTCGAAGCCTGGGTATTAGCTGTCATCAATTGCGTATTGTACCATATAAGATCCTATTGATAGCTTGGAAGTGAACAACCCAGAGTGGCGAATATGTCGAATACGGCGAGGGTTAGATCCTACTTCGTGCGTCCAGCTTCTTCTGATGCACATGGTCTCGCTTCATAGAAGGAGAAATCTGAACAGGTCTGCAGCCTACATTGGGGTAAAACCTTGCAAAGTAGGTGAGCCAACATCAACGTAGGCTCCAGGCTGTTCAGATTTGCTCCCTCCTTGAATAAGGCGGCCCGTGCAAACAAGCTGAACGTCATGTCTTTGGTGGCCAGCAGGATTGTCGGTAAAGCTCTGGGAGTCTACCATTCCTCGGAATCAGACTGGAACGCTTGTACAGTGTCGGGATGCCGATAGACCCCCTCGTAGCGGGGTTCCTTTGAGCAAGACCACTGAGTGATGTAAGGGGCAGTGGAATTTCCAACTGCGGTACGTCCGGCAAGGGGCGGCATTGAACAGCTCAAAGGAAGATTCCACGATAGTTGGGTCCTCTGATACTGGGCGTCTGCGATAGCGCGTGTGAGTCAAACCAGACCCATTGTTCTGGCTCCATAAGCATCAATGCCCAAGGTAGCGGTAAAAGCAATAGAGGGAGTGGCTAGGAGCGGAGAAAGGAAATTGAACACGGTGGTGTGCATGATCTGGGCGGTACCATCGACAAGGCCACAATAGACTCCGCTTGTAGTGGGGCTGGGTACACAGTATGATGGCAATCTCAGTACCCCGCCAAAAGTTTTGCAGTGCGGCAAAAGTGACACCGAGGTGGTTTCAGCGCGAAAGCTGCATGCTGGATTATTTTCCAGGTAAAGTGAATCGGGAATGAAGGTAACAATCGAGCCTTGTGCAAAAGCAAAAGCTGTAGCGCGTAGGTGACGCGGGTCAACTGGTACGAAAAGGGCTGATGGACAGCAATGACGATGCACCAAAAGACTCGCGTGAGGCAACTGCGGCTGTGGCGAGCTCACAGTAGGCGGTCAGGGCGGTTGGAAGGGCTCCATGGCATGTGGGCCAATGAACAGGACCCGTTTTGCCTCTTTCACAGTCGAATTCGTTGCAAGTGAAGGAGTTTTCGTAGCCCAACGGGGGGCTAGCGCCTAAAACTAGCACGGACCCACTCAGCCCTCCAAGTATATTAGCAACACCCAGCCCCTCCATCGCTCACTTTTTCTTCTTCGTCCAACTCATACCTTACACCGCGCGCTGTAAATCTGAGTATCAAACAACTTCCCCTCACCACCACCAAAGCAAACTACACAACACCGCCAACATGGGGTAAGTCATCTCCCCCGCCTTCTGCCCCAAGTCGCTGGAGCCTTTACATCGCCCACTCCAGCAGCCTTGGCCGCCACCTCCACCCTCAGTACAGCTCACTAACAATGTCTGCAGTAAGGAGAAGATGCACATTAACGTGGTCGTTATCGGCCACGTCGACTCCGGAAAGTCCACCACCACCGGCCGTAAGCCCTCCCTCTCCGAACGCCTGCGGGGTCACACAACTTACAATGGGATACAGACTTGATCTACAAGTGCGGTGGTATCGACAAGCGTACTATCGAGAAGTTCGAGAAGGTACGGCATCACTCTCCTTTCACATGGGCATCCGCGACCGTCCAGTGCACCTTTGAGCGCTCCAGCCATTTCCGGCTTATCGCGATGAGGGGCATTTTTGGGTGGTGGGGTTGTGCGAACTTTTACGCGCTAGCGCTAGTCCGCATGCGGCTTTCGCGAACCCCAACACCATGACGCACATCCAATTTCCCCAATTCGGCTTCAGTTTGCTAACAAGCCTCACAGGAAGCCGCCGAACTCGGTAAGGGTTCCTTCAAGTACGCATGGGTCCTCGACAAATTGAAGGCCGAGCGTGAGCGTGGTATCACCATCGATATCGCTCTCTGGAAGTTCGAGACTCCCAAGGTAAGCTCCGACTGCACCAAGTTTTTACGAGACATGAACTGACCCCCTACTCGTACTACGTCACTGTAATCGACGCCCCCGGTCACCGTGATTTCATCAAGAACATGATCACTGGTACTTCCCAGGCCGACTGCGCTATTCTCATCATTGCCGCCGGTACTGGTGAGTTCGAGGCTGGTATCTCCAAGGATGGCCAGACTCGTGAGCACGCCCTTCTCGCCTACACCCTCGGTGTCAAGCAGCTCATCGTTGCCATCAACAAGATGGACACCACCAAGTGGTCCGAGGAGCGTTACCAGGAGATCATCAAGGAGACCTCCAACTTCATCAAGAAGGTCGGCTACAACCCCAAGCACGTTCCCTTCGTCCCCATCTCCGGCTTCAACGGTGACAACATGATTGAGGCTTCCTCCAACTGCCCCTGGTACAAGGGTTGGGAGAAGGAGACCAAGGCCAAGGCCACTGGTAAGACCCTCCTCGAGGCCATTGACGCCATCGACCCTCCCAGCCGTCCCACCGACAAGCCCCTCCGCCTTCCCCTCCAGGATGTCTACAAGATTGGTGGTATTGGCACGGTGCCCGTCGGTCGTGTCGAGACCGGTATCATCAAGGCCGGTATGGTCGTCACCTTCGCCCCCGCTGGTGTCACCACTGAGGTCAAGTCCGTCGAGATGCACCACGAGCAGCTTGTCGAGGGTGTCCCCGGTGACAACGTCGGCTTCAACGTCAAGAACGTCTCCGTCAAGGAGATCCGTCGTGGCAACGTTGCCGGTGACTCCAAGAACGACCCCCCCAAGGGTGCCGAGTCCTTCAACGCCCAGGTCATCGTCCTCAACCACCCTGGTCAGGTCGGTGCCGGTTACGCACCAGTCCTCGACTGCCACACCGCCCACATTGCTTGCAAGTTCTCTGAGCTCCTCGAGAAGATTGACCGCCGTACCGGAAAGTCTGTTGAGAACTCTCCCAAGTTCATCAAGTCCGGTGACGCCGCCATCGTCAAGATGGTTCCCTCCAAGCCCATGTGCGTTGAGGCTTTCACTGACTACCCTCCCCTCGGTCGTTTCGCTGTCCGTGACATGCGTCAGACCGTCGCCGTCGGTGTCATCAAGTCCGTCGCCAAGGCCGACAAGGCTGGCAAGGTCACCAAGGCCGCCCAGAAGGCTTCCAAGAAATAAGCGCTCTCTTCTTGGGTTGCTTGTTTCTCTTCTTTCGTCTCTAGATACCTGGTTCTGGGGATGTGGTTGCTTCGGAAAAGCTGTGATGACTTTTGAAACGTGTCATGCATAACGGTCTGGGGTCCTGGCGTCGTCCTTCCATAGTTTCCATAATGATCTGAATGAAAACATGGGTGGGATATGAACAATAACACTTCTTCTGCCTTTGTGAGTGACTTGTTGGTGTTTTGACTTGCCCCTCCTTCGGCCATTGCTTCTTGCCTCGCCTGACTTGGTCGACCCAATGTCATTGTCCTTGAGGTTTCTACCCCGGGTGGTTACGAGTCGTGTCGGCTTCTACAAATTTATCATGAAGCTAGACGCATACATCAACTTGGGGACTGTGTAGTTATCAGAACACAATACCATGTATGCGACACGCATCGTAGGCACCTCTAGTGATCCAAGGACCAAGGCCGGTCTCGTCGTGGACCTGAGCTCAGAAGGGGTTTCGGTTCACCGTTAAGACCACCTGATTCAGAGAAAACGCCGAGCACCCTGGAGCCTAAGTTGACGTCGGATCATCTACTTTGCATGTTTTCATATCAATGTAGGCTGCAAGCCTGTTCAGAATTGTGTCCTTGTGGGATGACATGGCCGCGTTGGTGCTTGAGCCAACACCGTGGCTGGTTGATGGCTTCAAGGAACGACCCACTGTTTTGGATTTAGCGCTGGCCATCACTCCAGGGCTTCCGAGGTTACTAACCACATCCAATTCGCCGTCGCTTTACGTCCTCACGTTACAGACTCTCTACAAGAGCAATGTCAGCAGACCTCTTTGCAGAATTTGGAGCAGATCCGCCTCCCGGTCAACAGCAATCGCAGCCTATACCCAGCGCCAGAACAAGTGCACCTGCTGCATCAGACTTCAGCTTCTTCAGCGGCCTAGGTCACACCCCGGGTCTGGCAACACCGTCGCAGCAACTCCCTTCAACGAGCAACATTCAGAATTTGGGTTCGACTTACGAACAAACATCTACTGTCGAAGACAATGACGACTGGGGCGATTTTGAGGGCGGTTCATCTCTCGAGCCCGCTCCTGCCGCCAAACGAGATCCGTTCGCATTTGCATCACCTCCGGCCGCCCAACCGCAATCAAATGCATGGAACATCACCTCAGAAACCCACGATCCCTTTGCATTCGCATCGCAACCATCTTCGCAGCCGCTAGAGCAGACATGGAATCGAGCGCCGGTTGTGAAGGCCAAGAAATCAGCCGACCCGAGCGTTTTGTTCGACGCGGAGGATGATCTTGATGATGATGATGACTTTGGCGATTTTGAAGGCGAGCAGGAGAGTAAGACGCAGTCTACGGCACCCATGGCATCGTCTTCGGCGATTGTGGACCTACTAGGCGACATGAGCATAGCACAGGCTCAACCACCCAGCACGAGTAGCAGAGATATTGCTAACGCAGGTCGGGGTTCAAAGCTTCAAGCGACGACAAACAAGAAACCCAGCACAGGCTTTGGTGCTGTGGCCAAACCAAAGCAACCCATGCCGCCGCCCGCAGTGGCCCAAGAAGATGATGGATGGGATGAGTTTGACGACTGGGAGGCGTCCATTCCTACTAAGGCATCCAGCAAACCCGAAGCTGTGAAGTCGACTAGCAAAGCCGAATCGAACATTACCCCAGCTCCGATACTTTCCCCTACGACAACAGATCCGCAGGCCGGCGAGCTACCTCCTACAAACGTGCCCCCGCCTGGCGTATTACTGTCACTTTTTCCGTCTCTGTTCGCCGAAGCACAGGAGAGGTTACTCAAGCCTATGGCAGCCCAACCTTTGCCCATGAGAAACAAGCTGCTAGCTGAGCCCGCGACAATTGCCTACCTTCAGGGCTATCTTATTCTCGGGAATGTCGCGGCGCATATCATCGCAGGCAGGAAACTGCGCTGGAAGCGAGACCAGCATCTGTCTCAAGGCATGCGAATCGGCCCAGCGTCATCACGAGCAACTTCGGGGATGAAGTTGACGGGCATCGACAAGGGCGAAAACATGAAAGAAGAGCGAGAGGTTTCCGATGTGGTTAGAAGCTGGAAAGAGCAAGTTGGGCGACTGCGGCATGTCGTGTCTGGCGCAAATCAAATCAAGGCGGGCACTCTAGATCGTGGACCAGACCTGCAAGAGACGATGCCAGTTAGGACACTCAAGCAGTCCGAGGGCGGTATTCCTGCACGACAGCCCTGCATGCTGTGTGGACTGAAACGAGAGGAAAGAGTGACTGCAGCGGACATGGCCACGGACGATAGCTTTGGCGAGTGGTGGATTGAGCAGGTCAACATGCATCGAGGTGTGTCTATGAAATGGCCGCGATGAAGACGATTGCTGACTATAGACTAGGTTGTAGGAACTTCTGGAACCAGCATAAAGACACACTTCGACACCATTGATAACCTGAAGTCCCCGGATATCGAGGGTGAATGCATGGGTACAGCACACGGCATGCACAGGATAAGTGTTCAGCCAATGGTGTCCTCCGGGGTATGCGGAGCTAATCACGGTGGCCGCAACCTGCACGACTTTCTGCATGATGAGCAGAGAATTCAGAGGCCTCCATTGAACAAGTGACATCTGTTACTTTCCACATTCACTGTGCATATTGTTGCTAGGCGCCCGTAGTGTATATAGTGTTGTTCAGGGCATGCTATGACGACATGAACGTCGGCTGGATTGGCGGAACGTTTGCTCTTTGCGCAAAGTAATGGAAGAGGCGGCAGAGCAGCACATGTCAGAAGGAAGGCTAGCGGAGGCTTGTCGGACGGATGATGACAGGTCCGGCTGGGGAAGCTTGTGGGACAAGTGGGATGCGCCGCAAGAAGCATTGTACATAGCAAGCATGGTAGACACTAGGTTTCAGCTGGGCAAAACAGATCTGGAGTCTTGTGCAACCTTGACGTCTAGCGTGCGGTGAGGCAGGCGTGGAGTATGATGATGGTGTCCCGCCCCGGTCTATGGTAGATCAGATCTCTGGTAGCGTCGAGGGCGGGTGCATCGTCTGTGCACTTCGCGGGGCCAGCGTAGGCGCAATGCAAATAACGCCGTTGCCGTCTCAAGTCGCATCCATAGTGCGGGCGACGTAACTACATGCCATTCACTGTACACGCCCACTGATCACCCTTGACTCTAGTCCGCTCCACGCGTCGCATTTCTTACTGAACAGCCGGTTCCGTCGCAGGTGATATCCGACCCAAGCCCCATCAGCCCTGCATTCCCCGCCAGAGCCTTTGCACCACCGCCCGCCCGCGCATCTTGCACCCGTACCCCAGAAGCGATACCGCCGCCGCCCCCAACGCGACACCGGGTCAGTACACATTGACTTGTGTGCCTGTAGACCAAGACTGGCCCTCCCGTCGTCATTCGCTGCGCGTAGTCTTACCGAGCCGAGACTTGTGCCCAGGCCTGGGAACAGGCGCTCGTACGCCTCAGGGAATGAGCAGGCCAAATGATCATGGTACGTCAAGTGACCCTCTGCCCCGAGTCGTGATGCCCGCGACTGCCTCCACGGCGTCTGCCTCTGCCACCGGCGAGAGATGGCCCGCTTTGTAAGCTTCACCGCTCAATGCACCCGTGGACTGCGAGAGGAACGGCACCGAGCTGCTGCAGTAGATAATAGACACCCGCCTTGCCTGCCACCTGGACCAGCTACTGCTCTTCTGCATGGATCTGCTTGCTGACGCCCTCACCCCGCCAGGCTCTCTACCAGAAGAAGCACCCTTCGACTCGTTCGCACAGTCGCAGCACCTCTCCGAATATGCCCCGCTGGTCAAGACGAAAAGCACATCCAGCCTGCTGAGCTGGCGGACAGGGCCGCCGCCACCCATCGACACGGCCAAGCGCCTGAGCATCGATGCAGGGCAGCTGGACCGCATGGCCAGGTGAGTGCAACGTGCGAGAGGCTGGGCAGGCAGGAGCTTCCTCCGCTTCGTGGCTAACGGCTGACACATGCTCCAGGTCGCCCATTGTGTCTGAGCATGAACACGGCCTAGGCTCTTCAGGCCTGCGTCGCATTCGCCAACAGCCAGGCCCACGACAGCTGCAGACGACCCAGCGAGCCGCTTCGTTGAACATCGCTACTCCGCCCGTGTCGAGGCACCCCTCAGAGTCCACGCCCACAGCGCCCGCGTCACCGACCTTCGCCTTTGGCGAGGACCTCACTCGTTTCCCCTCCGAGTCCCTACACTCGTTCTCGTTCGCGACCCAATCCGAAGAGTTTATACACAACCGCCAGAATGTTTTGAAGCGCTCCATTGAGTTCATGCGAGACAGGCTCGGCTGGGCTGCGACCAATCCCGGCATAGCCAACGCTCAAGCCAAACTCAGCGGCGATCAAGAAGTGCAGAGCATGATGGAGCTCCTGACCCGGGCAAACCTCATAGGTCAGGACGGCACAGGAGCCCATGGGCTGGGTGCTTTGGGCCCAGTGACAGGACCCGCCGACATGTCTGGCGAGAACCCATTCGAGAAGGGATTCACAGTCGATCGATCAGCCAGCCCAGAGAGCATGCTCGAAGCATCGAGACCCCCAGTACACAGGGCGACTACGGTCGATGTAGCCGACAACAGCAGCACGTCAGACTCTCGAGAGGGACGAAGCTCATCAAGTACCGACTTGACCTCCGACGCGTCGAGCACACGCGTAGCGGCCGCCTCTCCACCTCCACCCTCCTCGCAGCCTGCACGACCCCAACGAGCCGCACTGAAACGTACCCTCACCGACGTCGCGCCTCTTACGATACAAAGTCAGCTTCACGATGCCTTGGCACAGCCATACCGAGTTGGAGATCAGGAGAAGATCGGGGACCTCGTTTCTCCCGCGAGCATACCGACTCTGCCACCGAGTTTCAGCAATGCACCAGGGCCTCACTCTGCAGGATCAGCGCCGCATGGACACGGGAGCCGACACGCTCCAGCAGCACAGGCCATCTTTACTACCGAGACAGACACACCGTGGACTATCACATCCGCAAACGATTTGGCATGCTTGGTATTTGGAGTAACAAGGGCGGAGGTCCGTAAGCTGGGCATCCTCGAGGTCGTGCGTGAGGACCGCAGGAAATGGCTCGAGAGCAAGCTGAAGGATCCTGAAAGTGGCTCGAAGAACGCGCCGTCTGGAGTATCGGCTGCCAACAACAATCTCAAGGTCGGCAGCGGTGTCACAGCGCGGTTACTGAGCAAGGCTCCATCACGAGTGACAGCTGCGAGGAAAGCACAAACCGACGACGGCAGTGGATCTTCATACTATAACGCAAAGAAGACCGGCAAGCTCAACCATGAACACAAGGGCTCAAGGGGCGTCCTACTTTGTGGAGACGTTATTCCGATACAGAAACGCGACGGCTCGACTGGGTCGGCCAGCTTGTGGGTCAAAGAGAAACGGGGCAGTCTCATATGGGTGCTTGAAGAGATCGCCGAAGACGTTGTGTACATCACGGTCGACGAAACAGGCTGCGTATCCAAGGGCTGGGGCGCAACGGAAGCTGTCTTCGGGAGCGATCGGTTACGGAGGGGCATGGATCTCAAGCGTCTCATACCAGGTATACCACGACTCCGAGGAACAAACACTGGAGTACTAGACTACGACTCCATTGACGAGTTCCGCAGCTACACAGCTCGCACGTCGAACAGCATCAATATACCCGTGACGGTGGAAGCCTTGCCTGGCGAACCTACCTTCCGCATATCTAGCTTCCCTCACATCGCCGGCATCATTGTCCTATCGTCCGACGATCTCAAAATTACGAGTTCCAATTCCGTGTTCTCCGCGGCTCTGTTTGGGCAGCCGCGACCTGAAGGTATCCACGTCAGCAAGCTCATACCCGCGTTCGACAGAATTCTGCACGTCATGACAGACGAGGACAAGATAGAGCTGGTTGACGGGATCGTTATTCCCGAACACAGCTTTCGTCGCGCACGAGCCCTGCTCGCAATGCGGGAAGGTAGTGCAGATGCCGCAGCCATCTTCCTGCGACCAAGTGGTCTGCCAGCCTTACATCGCGACGGATCGGAAATAATGGTTGACGTGCAAATGCGAGTTGTGAAGAGCGAAAAGTCACCCCGATTTGATGAGAATGTCATTGAAGAGGAAGATGGGTCATCGAAACCAAACAAGGGTCCAGAGCTGGTCTACGCTTTGTGGATAACATACTCCAGGCAACTGCACGCTGCGAACCACGGTATCGGTCCAGTGACTCCCCTTATGTCACGGCCACCCTCACCCCGCCAACCAGAGCCAGGCCAGTCCAGTTTCTCCGTGCCACAAGAACCCGAATCACATCAATCGCAAGGAACACCGCCTACAGTTTCACTCCTCACACAGCAGATTCAAGAAGCCATGAGGCCTAATACTCCGCAACAATCTCAGAAAGGAGCCATGGCACCGCCGCCAGCACCTGCACAGGATGAGCCATCCCAGAAGAAGACTATCAACGATTTTGTAGTGTTGGAGGATATGGGCCAAGGCGCCTATGGGCAAGTCAAGCTATGTCGATACAAGAAGAACAGCAACAAGAAGGTTGTGATCAAGTATGTTACGAAGCGGCGCATCTTGGTCGACACATGGACACGAGACCGAAGGCTTGGAACTGTGCCGCTCGAGATTCACGTCCTGGACTATCTCCGCCGCGACGGCTTTAAGCACCCTAACATTGTGGAAATGGCCGATTTCTTCGAGGATGACATCAACTACTACATCGAGATGATACCACACGGTCTACCGGGCATGGACCTCTTCGACTATATTGAGCTACGAGTCAACATGGAAGAGAAAGAGTGCCGTAAGATTTTTGTTCAGGTCGCAGAAGCGGTACATCATCTGCACACTAAAGCGAAGGTCGTGCATCGGGACATCAAGGATGAGAACGTCGTCCTCGACGGTGAAGGCAACATCAAGCTCATCGACTTTGGAAGCGCAGCGTACATCAAAAGCGGACCCTTTGACGTCTTTGTAGGCACGATTGGTATGTTTCCCGTCGCTCTTGAATCCTTATGATCATACTAACGCTCGTCAGACTACGCTGCCCCAGAAGTCTTAGCTGGAAAAGCCTACCGCGGTAAAGAACAAGACGTCTGGGCCCTTGGCATCCTCCTTTACACCATCATATACAAAGAAAACCCCTTCTACTCCATCGATGAGATCATGGATCATGATCTCCGCGTACCGTGGGTCATGTCGGAAGAGAGCATCGATCTTGTGCGACTGATGCTAGATCGAAATGTGGAGAAAAGGATTACCATCAGCATGGTGCTCGAGCACCCTTGGTGCAAGGGCGCTGGTGCTGGCAGTGGTGTGGTTGGAGAAGCCGCTTGAGGGCCAAAAC